TCAGTTTCATGCTTTACCACTCTATTAATGATCATCATTTAACAGCAGTGTGCACATATATCTCTCATACATAAGCACATATTGCATCACAAATAGTAAATAAGACTGATATAGTTCTTATTCCTGACCGATGCAGAGTTCACAATTCAATTCAATAGCAAAACATTCCTATATGGAATGTTTATTGATCATAAAGAACCTTAACATACAAGGTACAGATCATCGATAGCGTACAAGCAAATATAAAATGGTCACATTCCTCGATACCTTGAAGATAATACATACATATATAAAATGTAAAACATTTAGATCATGAATTACTGATCAATAAATGAATTAATAGTACCAGTTAGCAGGTTAATATAGCCACCAGTTATCTTTAAGGTGATAAGACAGTACCATTAGTGTTTTTAACTAGAGAGGAGCGCTTGATCTATTGGATAAAGAAAAAACACCAAGAAAAAGTCTCCACTGACTTACCCCATTTTCTTAATGCTGTTTGTTCAAGCTGTGTTCTGAGTGTACTCAACCTCTCGGCGTATAAATGAGCAAATTGTCTGGTGAAGTTCTTTTCTTTCAGCAAGAACCTTTCGGAATGGTTTTCATACGCTGTTGACACTCGTGGGAACACAGCAGACTCGGCAGAAGGGTCTGCGAGTAACATTCCCGCTTTTTGTTCCGCCTTGGACACGTTGATCAGCATATTGTATAACTAGTTAAGTCTTTGCCTGTCCGAAACGTTATGAAAATATCAATTGTTTGTACTAGCACTGTTCATACCCTCTGCCATGTTTTTCCTTGGCAAAAATGGCGGGGAAATGAATCTGATTAGTCCCAAGTACAACTTCACATCACAAAAATCGATCGCTAAATTTTTGTCAAAAATTGTGCACTAAATGACACAAAAACATTTTTTAAACTTTTTATCTATCAATTCCATTAATATTTCTGGAAAAATCGCAGTTTTATCACAAAATCTCAGCCTAGTTTTTGAATCAAGCACCCCTCTGAAGGAACTAGTCAAGAAAAGTGCACTTATCAGGTCACTCCGGGTCAACTTGCCAGGTGGTCGCAGGAGCAACTAGTGCGGGAAGTATGATTTTCTGTTATTGGTAAATATTTCTTCCTTTTTTGTATCGTAATCTCGTGTTGCAATTATAAAGAACTTCATATAATAGTTAATTTGAAAAAATGTTTAGAACTTCTATTAAAATGCCACGTGGGCGAAGGCTGATCGTTGAAGAGGCTCCCAATCAACCCAGATGTGGGCTTGGGTCTTGCGTCATCTGCTTAAGTGTGACCTACATCTATTTTTTCTTCACTAAACATACATTGCATCAGATAACTTTTGTGAAAAGGCGGATATTTTTTGCATATTTAGATAGCAGTCAGTCGCTTGTGGAGACCAGAGTATTTACCCCGAGAGTGCGGGGCAACACATGAAATAGCATTGAAGGTAAGTACCCAGTACAAGTTTCTTTTTCATTTGCATCTCGTGTTATATAATAATTATTACATATATGTATTCATATGAGCGTGCACGTGTTCATACGCCTTTTTATCATTTTGTTTTATCTGAAAGATGTTCCACTTACCATATAGCAACAGGGTTGATGATTTGATAAAAAAAATTGTCTTAACATGGCTTAAATTGCTTTCAGCATTGGTCATTATCAATAAACAGGTAAATTGTGAAAAAAAATAGATATTTACTAAAGCATCTGATTAGAACTTTATTCGTCCATATTGCTCATGTGGTCCCAATGATCCGTTAATATCTCGGCAAACCTAAATTGGCCCTGTGTTAATTCTCTTACATAGACCTTGGTCTTTGTGATGTGTGTCTGAAGGTTCAATGGTTGGAATGTCCATTATAAATTCTTTGGACCAACAAACCCTTTTCTTAAAAAACTGATCAAATATTATGATTTTTTTTAACCATATGGACCAATGAACCTTCAGGCTACTGAGATACTCCCTTTGTGATCCACTGAACTTGAATTTTGACATCACCAATGACCATTGATCCTTTTATGGTGCCCTCAGCCTCAGTAATCCTCATACGTTGCCCATAGCAACGGTGATCCTAGAACCATGCTGCTCAGCCCTGGTTGTGGTTGTCTTTGTATTTAGCCCAAATCTTTTGGTGGTCTTCTTATCTTGCCCTCAACAACCTCAATCCCCTCTATTTGTTGCAATATTTTTTATGAAAAAATGTCATAATTGCAACTGAAAGTAAATTAAGATGTTTCATAATTTGACCATATTACACAGTATATTAAATACCTTTATTTTATTTTATTGTTGTAGACAAGAGCTATAATCATGCATTTCCTTCGTGCTGTCTGTCTGATGAAGAAGCATGCCTACCTTAATGGAGTGGCTGGGGCCAGGTATATGTCTTCTGTCCATGGAGCCTCCAAGAGCACTCTTGACAAGGTAAATAATCGAATTAGTACAAAAGAATAATGGATAAAATATAAATTGATTTGTTGAATTTGATATTTGATAAATTGATATGAAATCGAGTGATGTTTAGTCCATTTCTACATAGAATTTGAAGAATACAAAGGACATCTAGTTTAAGAACTGGTCTTGAAATATTATTTATAATATGCTTTAAAAATAGAAGAAAAAGGCTCTAATCAATATTGAATTAAGCATTTCCTGATATTAATTGGCATATTATAATGAAATCCAGGTATTTATTCATTAGTTTTCACTTTTTGAACATTTTGATTGTATTTATTTTCTTAAACATTTATGATGTAATCAAAATAAGTTGACTAGGAGATAAACCAAATGCACACCCACACTTATATATATATATATATATATATATATATATATATATATATATATATATATATATATATATATATATATATAAAGGTAGTAATGAAGGGAATGTAGTTCTTTCTATTAAGTATTTGGCAAGCATGCTTGATGGAGCTATCAGGTATGTGAATTAATAGTACCATCAGGTACGCTATATCAGTGTGAAATGTTTATGAAAGTGGGTTTAATACTAAAACCAAGAGAGGGAATTAAAAACAAGTCCCATGTAATGTACACTCATCACATAAAATGTTCTGTACCAAAAAAGTGATAAAATTACAGGCACGCATGGATACAAATTGAGATTTTATATTATAACATTCTCATGACTTTCCTCTTGTGAACTTTCAATGTGTATAATTTAAGTATTCCTTCACCACATTGAAATTTATGTCAAGAAAATGTCAAATGTTAATTTAGGAAAATTGGCCTTTAGTTTAACCTTGCCTTTATTATTACTAGTGATCTGCATAAATATAGCATTTACAATATAGTCAAAGCATTCTGTGCACTTTGCCTGGAACTTAATTGCCCTATTTTAAAAATATTCCATGTACTCTTTAGGATAACAAAAAGTGAATATATTCTTATGGTAAGACAATCTTTAAAAAAATTGTGCAGTACATGCAGTTCATTTTTTTCACAGCACAATTAGAAATAACTTCTATCCATTTTAACAGTAGTCCACTGATTTTCCAAGTGGTTTGGATGGCCACTTAGAAGTACTTGAGACTTTCAGCTACTTATTTTGCTCATGTTTGAAGTCAAGAAATCCCCTTCCAATCAAAACAGTGTAAAATTTAAAGATGTCATTTCCATGGTAACATAATTACATTATTTGCATATGACCCCAGAAAGATGACTCTACATCTGATTGCAGTGTATGTGCATATGCATGCATGTATTTGCACACACTTTATGATATAACAAAAGAATTTAATACCTGACCAGGGGTGATACAGATATAGTCTTTAAGTACTTCAACGAAAAAAATGTATCAAAATGGCAAATATAATAGTACAGGGCAGGTCAAAAGTACAATGGCATTGAACATGTTAATGGATAGTTAACATGGAATAACTACCTCTGCTATTTAATCAGTCTGGCAGTTTAACTACCTGTCTCAGGTGAGCAAGGAAGGTTAATGTACCCAGTCTGGTGATAATATTGATGGTCAGCAGCAGGGCTTTCCCTTAGGTTGGAGTGCAGGGAGTCGAAATGGCCAGTATTGAATGTTGGTTTTCAAGGGAGTCCTAGATTAAATAAAAATGCTGCATGGGTGTCACTGTGTGTGTGTGAGGTTGGGGGTAATATCACTATTTTCATTTTGTTGATCAATGTTAGTATTCTGTTAGAAACTTAGCAGTTCAAAAGATTCAAGGAATAGGAAAGAAGGGATGTCACTAAAGAATTCCTGCATTTTCGTATGTTTAGTACGTAATTAATTGATTTATTTGACTTGGCATGTATGGTGTTTCCTCTGCTGCATTTACTTAAATATTGATTTTTTTTTTTATTTAACCTTATAGCTGGGTTCTAGTCTTGACCATATATATTTTGATACTACGTACTCTCTACATTAAAAAAAAACTCAACTGTGTCAATATGTGTGTGTGTGTGTGTGTGTGTGTGTGTGTGTATATAAGCTCATCTGCAGACTACTGTTTCACTCTCCTGTCAATATCAGACAAGGTATTATCTCAAGCCTATCACAAATACTTCATTTGATTTATGTACACAGTAAATAATGGCAGTGATGGTAATCTTTCACTCTCTTGCCTGACCAGAGTGAACTTGTCAGTAATTTGGAAAAAAAATTAATTTGTTATTGAGAAAAATAATAAGGAAATGACAAAGGGTCATTGTGTGTAATTGCTTATCATAATGTCAATGGATCAATTTATTTTCAACGATTCAAAACAGATAATTGGATGTTTGTTTAAGAGAACAGTGTATAGCTCTTGGGTTTAGAATTATAATGCCTGTTCACATGTCATGTTGGAGCCATAATTTTGTAAAATGATGCTTCTGGATGAGTGGGTAGGTACCCCCTCCCTCTCAAAATAAATAAATAAATAAGAAAAAAAGGGAAAACATTTTGAAAGTCATTTCAAAAAGTTTGTTTGAAAATTATTTATTTATTGATTAATTATTGATTCAAATTAATCAATACAATATTTTTATTGGGGGGGGGGGTGGAGGATTTGAATTTAAAAATGTCTAGAAGAATGACAGAATGGCAGTGTTGGACTCAAATTTTGTGAGATAGTGAACACTAAATCTGTTGATAACTTCTAGTTCTCAGTAGCTTTAATCTATTCAACTTGCCATAAGGTATTCCCCAATCCCAGAATGCAAAACACAGCTCAACATTATGCAGGGAAAATAAAGTCTTTCTGACCCAAAATAGGGATTTTAGTCTTATTTAAATTTGTGTCATAAAGAGGACAGTCAACATTATTGTGACATTCTGCATAAGACAGGGTTTTTGCTGACTGTTCACCTTGTAGTTGAGAAATTTCTTCATACTTTGAGAAAAAATTACAAAGCATCTTGATGGTGTCCAGAATTGTCGCTTTGCAAGTTGGATAAAACTGAAATGTAAAATTTACATAATAAAGTCATCTACTTCTTTCCTTTTCATCCCTCCAGCCAAGAAGAGCACACCTTGTTCTGGAAGATGGTAGTGAGTTTCGTGGATACTCATTTGGACATGAGGCCTCCATTGCTGGAGAGGTAGTCTTTAACACAGGACTGGTGGGGTAAGAAATACATAGCGTTTTAGCTGCAGAAGGCCACTTTAATTTACAAATAAACTTTGAGCTTCATGTTCAGCTTTCCACACATGCCAATTGCAACTTGTTGTATCTGAACTTCAGTGGCATTTAATTAAAGTTTATGCCCCAAGCACAATGTTTTATGGGTCTGTTCACTACATCACTCCCTTTACAGAATCATAAAATCAAGATGACTGATTGTAACTTATGGTAATAGAATTATATGGTTTGTTGTCAGTGATCATTTTCATTTTAAAGATAAATACCTACATGTATTAACTCCTTGTAGCATACTTAGATTAGCCTTTTTCGGCTGAATAATTACTAATACATGGTCAATCCACAATATCAATGTAAAGTCATTGAGACATATATAAGATTGAGATGACCAAAAATCCTTTAAGGTACCCCGAGGCCCTGACTGACCCAAGCTACCACGGCCAGATACTGACCTTGACCTATCCCATAGTTGGTAACTATGGTGTGCCGGACACACAGGCCAGAGATGAATATGGACTCATGCTGAATGTGGAGTCTGACAGAATACATGTGAGTGTACAATTTAGTCCTGTGACTGGTTTTACATATTTTAAAAGGACTTGAAACTGAAAGTTGGTCTTAACTTTAAGATCAAAATTTTAGTCTAATTTGACCTAAGATAAACCATCATTAACCCATTTATCTGAAATATTATGCATGTTTTATAAAAACATAAAATGTCTAATATTTTGCACCAATAGAAAAATTTATTATGGTCAACTTCTTTGGATTTTTCTTGAGTTGAAGTTTAAAAAAATTTGGTTGTAAAGCGGAGGCCAATATTTAGCCTTTAAGTTCAAATGATGTAAAATGATGATGTAATTTATTTATTGTCACATTAAAAGGATTAAAATTTTTTCGAAATTATTTTTATAAAACTATTAAGTAATTTATTATTATTATAATTATTATTATTAGTAGTAGTAGTAGTAATAGTAGTAGTATTTCATATTTATTTCTGTTTTAATTCTATTTAAATTTCTCCAGGCCTCTGGATTGCTGGTCCAGGACTATTCTCATGGATACAGTCACTGGAATTCAGTCAAGTCTCTCTCACAGTGGCTGAAAGAGGAGAAGGTACCTGGTCTCTATGGTATAGATACTAGGATGATTACCAAGATGATCAGAGATAAGGTATTGTGGGTTTTTTTTTTAAATCTGGCAATGTTAACCACTGTAAGTTTTCAAAAGAGCTTTTGATTTGAATTGATTTTTTTCTGAAATGTAAGTGTTAAATGATGATTCTACATTTAAAAAAAATATCTGGCTAAATCAAGGTCTTATTATTACTAATATCATTTTTATTTTATTATTACTGATATTATTATGCATTTTTTTCTATTTTTTCCATAGGGCACAGTGTTGGGAAAGATTGAATTTGATGAGCAACCAATAGAATTTATGGACCCCAACACAATGAACCTGATTGATAAGGTGGCCACTAAGGTGGGAAATCTTGAAGGGTTTTCTTATAAGAATTTTAGACTGTCTGAGAGTTCACTTTAAGCTTAAAAATGTTGGCCTTCTTCAGGATAAATCTGTAGTTAGTGCTGTAAGGTATACAAACATAGTCAACCTTTGTGTTTCTTCTTATGACCATTATTTTGCTAAAAGCTGCATATTTTTAATGTTGATGTTGAAACAATTGTTTGGAACCATTTGGAAAAAGATTTAGTGCAGAAAGACAGCCGAAAGATCAAATGCAGAGAGTAATACACAATATCAAAATAATGAGAAATTTTATATACTTATTTCAGTATATAATATGACTTTTTGAAAAAGCACATGTTTGAAACTGCTGTGCACTATTGTATTGCAGGATATCATAGTGTACGGGAAGGGAAATCCCCTCAAAGTGGTGGCAGTGGACTGTGGTATAAAACACAACATGATCAGAATGCTGGTGAAGGTAAGGCACCACTCTGGCTAAAATGCTGGTGAAGGTAAGACACCACTCTGGCTAAAATGCTGGTGAAGGTAAGACACCACTCTGGCTAAAATGCTGATGAAGGTAAGACATCACTCTGGCTAAAATGCTGGTGAAGGTAGGACACCACTCTGGCTAAAATGCTGGTGAAGGTAAGGCACCACTCTGGCCAAAATGCTGGTGAAGGTAAGGCACCACTCAGGCTAAAATGCTGGTGAAGGTAAGACATCACTCTGGCTAAAATGTCATAAGTGGCCATCACTGAGACAGATTTATGTAGACTATTATGTGTGAGACACATTTTAAGCTTTGTAAGATGCACAAAATATGAATGTTTCCTTTGTTATGTTTTGAGAAGAAATAACACCATGTCGCTGGAAAATTGCTAATATGAAATTAATATGAATGGCAAAGAAAAAAAAGGAAGACGGAGAGAAAGACTCAGATAATAGAGAATGGACACGCCTATGTATAATGTTTATTTATAACATATGCCCTCAATTTGTTTTTTCAGAAAGGAGCAGAAGTGACTCTTGTCCCGTGGGATTATGACTTCACCCAAGATAAATTTGATGGACTGTTTATTTCTAATGGGCCAGGTGACCCTGCTGTGGCCGGGGAATTGGTGGCCAATGTGAAGAAGGTAAACACAGGAAGATTTCTTCTACATAGAGAACTGTGTATCTGAAAAATCATTGCAGACCTGTAGCTAGGTTTGAACGAACAGCCCTTTTTGCAGTTGCAAATTTCCCCTCTGGGTAAAATTTGATAAATGTACATGAAGGTTTCTTGGTAAAAGGCCCACTTTTGGTAAACTTTGTTCACTTTTGGTAAAGTTTTTTTCTTCCACAGAAGGAGATTAAAGTAATTGAATTATCCCTTCTGTGATATTAATGCCTTCTATTTGAAATCTAAACCATCCATTTGCAATTTTAATTTTTTAACTTTTTAAGCCTAGTTTGATTTGACCACTTACTTTTTAAAGGTTTTGGACAACAGACCAGAGCCAATATTTGGTATATGTATGGGGAACCAGATCACCTGTCTGGCAGCTGGGGCACAGTCTTATAAGTTACCTTTGGGAAACAGGTGGGTGCAGGTGAAAAATAATTAATGAAAATAAAAGGAATCGGTTTCTTTTTTTTAAATTATATTTTATTTCATTTTTTATTTTATTTATTTATTTATTTATTTTTTTTTTTTTGAAATTGACAGTATTTTTGTTTATTGTTATTGAAATTTTGTTATTATTAGGAATGCTTTATGGATTTGTGACTCATATTTTTGAAAAAAAAACATTATAAAGAGTTTGAAGCATCAAATGTTTGTTTGATATCTTTCTGACTGCATATCTTGAATAATTGAAGCTGCAATGAAATATATGTTCCAAGTCTGTTTTCATAGTTTACAGTAAAATTAATTAATTAATTAATTAATTGATATATTTTTTAAAATTCATCCAGAGGTCACAACCAGCCAGTGATCAACCTCCTGAGTGGACAGGCTTTCATTACCTCCCAGAACCATGGCTTTGCTATAGACAACAAGACTCTTCCCCCAGGCTGGCTGCCACTCTTTATCAATGCCAATGATGGAACAAATGAGGTTAGTCTGGATTAGCCAGAAAAAAATCTAAACAATTTTAAGGTGAATATTTTGAAATTCTTGTTCAGCCAGACAAAAATCCTATTTGAAAGATTGAAGGTTTTTGAAGGCCCTGGATTTTTAAACCTTTTTTTTTTTTTCAGTTTTTCTAACTATCAAGAACTGCGTATTAAACTTGGGTAGAAATTTGGCAGTAGTGGTAACATTATTAAACTGTGCAGAAATGACATGTTTGAATTTTTTTTTAAATTTGCTTACATGTACAGCACAGTTCATTATTTCAGGGTATCTATCATGAAAACCACCCTATATTTACTTCACAGTTCCTTATTTCAGGGTATTTATCATGAAAATCGCCCTATATTTACTGCACAGTTTCACCCAGAAGCCAGAGGAGGTCCTACTGACTCTGAGGTAAACAATTAGAGGGTAGTGCCATTAATTTAAAAATGTAAATATTACTCTTGACATCAGTATCTTATATACATACTGCATAAAATGGTAAATAAAAGTTATTGTCACATTTGATGGGGTAAACTTTCCAGACGTGTAATTGTTAGAATAGAAATTTCTGTGAACAAATTAATTCCATTAATTCCGATCAACAGTTGAACTAGATCTTAACACAACTGTGACAGATGTTAAACCCACAAACTATAGCATAAATTTAAAAGTTTCTTTCAATTTTTTTAATTCAAGTTTCTGTTCGACATGTTTCTTGACATGATAAAATCTGGGGAGCAAAAAGTGGCGAAGATTGTGAAACCAATGCCACCTAAGCCAGACTTGAAGCCAGTAAGTATATGATGACAGGGTTTTTTGTGTACAGTGATTTAACATGTATTTATGTAATATTTCATGAGGTATTTTCATTATATGCTCATTTGGCCATTTTTAAAAGCTTATTTATTAATTCTCTTTTACACACTATGTGATTTTATATATTTAATTAATTTTTTTATTTTACTTTATTTTATTTGTTTTTATTAATTTTGTAAAGGTGCTTATATGAATAAATACTATTATCTATGAGATATCATGTGTATTGTATACAATACATAATATGTTGTGTATCTTTTGTATAATAAATGAAAATGAATTTTTATGTACAGACACTAAGTGTATATTTTCTTATTACTTTGATCTCATTAAATAATTCTTTACTAAATAGGTGTCTAAAGTTCTGGTCCTGGGCAGTGGAGGGCTGTCCATTGGTCAGGCTGGAGAGTTTGATTACAGTGGCTCTCAGGCCATCAAGGCATTAAAGGTGAGGCAGATCTTTTATATTTTAGTTTATTGGTGTTTGTGTGTATATGTAGAAGTCCGTGCAATTTCTGCTTTGCAGTTTAATAATCTGGAAAGACAATTTAATGACCGTCACAGCAAGACTTACTTAAATTTTTGTTCGACTAAGAAGATTTTTAAGTCTGCCAATTTTTGACTTGAACAAAGTTCTACAATTCAAAGCTTTTAAATTGTTTTCTTATGCGCAATGCATTCTCAAGAATAGAACATCCACAAAGGAAAAGTCAGCAGTTTGATTCTTGACTGTTTAATTTTTTCCTCAGGAAGAGAACATTGACGTAGTTTTAATGAACCCAAATATAGCCTCGGTCCAAACCAATGCTGAAGGGGAGAAGCAGGCGAATACTGTCTACTACTTACCCATCACAGCAGAGTTTGTCACCGAGGTCATCAAGAAAGAGAAACCCGATGGAATTCTGCTTTCAATGGGAGGACAGACAGCACTCAATTGTGGTAAGGGACATTTTCATTTTGTTCTTACTGTAATTTACACGGTCTTTTCAAGATTTTTTAAAGTATTTTTTTATTTAATTTTTTATTATTATTATTTTTTTGTATGAACAATGTGTAGAAGGGATTGATTTATTTTAGTTGCACATGTAGTAACTTACTAACCATTATACCATAGGGGTGTTGTTTTTCAGGTATTTCACTTATTTCAGTTTTTTTAACTACACTTTTTTGCTTTTTCTGGGATTATTTCATAACATTGCCGATTTTCAGCCCCCCCCATCACAAATTACATCCCTGATTATAGAAATCAATTTTTTAGTCCTGTATGACTTCTTTTAATCTCTTTCTTTCTTTCTTTATCTCACACACACACACACACACACACACACACGTAAAAATACTGCCATAATGTGACATATCTGTACATTCAGGTGTGCAGCTACATGATGCAGGAGTGTTCCAGGAGCACGGAGTCCAGGTGCTGGGGACACAGATCAGCAGTATCAAGGCCACTGAGGACAGACAGGTGTTTGCTGACATGTTGAAGGACATTAACGAGAGACTGGCTCCTAGCATTGCTGTGGAAACAGTAAGTTAAAGCTTACAGGCTGGCCTCACAAAAGAACTCGAGACACATTTATTTAAAGGTTTTAGGATATAGGCATTACATGAATATTAATAATACAATATTTTCTGGTTGTCTGAGGCCTGAAGAGGTTAGGTACCCAGTGATGGTGAAGTCACCTGCTATGTTTATTGTGTAATATATATGTTTTATTTAGTATGATGTATATAATGTTTTCTAGGTGCCTGATGCCTTGGCAGCAGCTGAGGAGATCGGGTATCCAGTGATGGTGAGAGCAGCCTATGCCCTGGGGGGTCTGGGGTCAGGATGGGCACCAGATAAGGAGAAACTTAAGGACATAGCAACCAGGGTAAGTGACAGAGGGTTTCAAGTTTATTTGACACATTTATAAAGAAAGAATCCCCCTCCCACCCCCTAAAAAGTTTGCATATTATCAAGATATGTTGATTTTGAATTTTTAGTTCATTATAGAATAACGACAGTTTTGTGAACACTCAATTATTATTAAAGGTTTTCAATTTGCAGCTAAAAATAACAGAATAATTTTCTCCAGTAGTTTGGTGTCTTTTTTCCTTCTTTTAAAAGCTCAACTTTTGCGTGTGTAATTTGAAAAATTTTGTAAATGGGATCTTCATTTTCTATTTTAGGCACTTGCACTGTCTAATCAGATTCTTGTGGAAAAGTCACTGCTTGGTTGGAAGGAGGTAGAATATGAGGTTGTCAGGGATTCAGCAGACAACTGTATTACCGTCTGCAATATGGAGAACTTTGATCCATTGGGGGTTCATACAGGTATGAATATATACATATATATGCTAAATTATCATACATCCTCTAACTGTAACAACAATTTATCAAAAAATCTACAGCTCAGCTGAAGATAAAAACCGACATAAAGTGAACAACTTAAAGGTTTTGATTGTTGTTACACCTTTTCTATGTATCACCAAGGCATACCCTATCCAAAACGTTGAAAAAAATTTTGATCTTTTAAGTTTAAACTTACATCAATGACTGAAACTAAATACTGTTCATTCCTGTTCACCAGGTCATTTTTGTCAGGTTACTTAGCCATTTTTAAATGTTTAAAAATGTTTTGTTTACATTATTTGTGAAGATTAGTTCATGGTCTCTCTTTTAACTTTTCAAATATGTAATGTATTACAGGCGACTCCATAGTTGTTGCTCCCAGTCAGACTCTGTCAAATTACGAGTACCACATGCTGAGAGAGACCGCCATTAAGGTCTGGAAAAGAATTTGGAAACATTTTATTCCACCAATATCTCTGTTTATAACCAATTTACATGGTTTTTTTTTTACATTTTAAAGTACTTTTAAGTGCCTTTGAATTCATTTTTTCACTTATTCAATTTAGAACTGAAACAGTCCTGAAGTGCAATTATTATGCTGTTTTTTTTAAGGGAATACTATAGTTATTAATATTATTATTTATCAGAATGAAAAGTGGACTTTTGTCTCTGTGCAAACATGACCCCAGAAAATGACCAGGACAGCATCTTGAAAATAATGAATTTCTTGTTACTTTTTATAATAATTAAGCAATCTGTTTCCACATTTTAAACCAGTGATTGCTACCTCTGTTTCCAGGTGGTGAAACATTTTGGCATTGTTGGGGAGTGTAACATTCAGTATGCCCTGCACCCTGAGTCTCTGGAGTACTGTATCATTGAGATTAATGCTAGACTGTCCCGTAGTTCTGCTCTGGCCTCTAAAGCCACAGGGTGAGTAGATAAAATCTGTAAAAAAAGTTAGTTGTTTACAATGTTATCAATAGTTAGTTGTTTACAATGTTATCAATAGATTAGAAAGAAGAACCATAAGAACTTTAGTATGAAGGCTGTAAATAGGACAAGTAATATTGAGAAGAAGTAAGCCAAATGAATTTTGCATTCAGCTTTTCCTTGGCAAATTTTCAGATTGATTTACTTACGTTTAATATAAAAGTTACTTCCCTGTTTAGTAAATGTACTTTTGATAGAACCAAGAGTTTTTAAGTCCTATTATTTTATTGAACAGATTTTGATTGACAAATTTTATATTCAGCTATCCCCTGGCATTCATTGCGGCAAAGTTGGCATTGGGGATAGACCTTCCCAGCATTCAAAATGCCACCACAGAGCAGACGACAGCCTGCTTTGAGCCCAGTTTGGACTACATTGTCACCAAGATTCCACGCTGGGATCTGGATAGATTCCACCAGACATCCAAAGAAATTGGCAGCTCCATGAAAAGTGTTGGAGAGGTGTGTGGTACTTTCTTGATTCCAAACACATGCAAAAATTATATATTTTATTTATGTTTTGTTTTATCATGCATTTCTTTACAATATATGTGTATTATATGTTCAGATTTCACTTAAATAGATTTAAATCAGTACTTAATTTTTAATATCTAAGAAAATCTCCTTAAATATTCATATAATATAATGTATTCAAATATTTCAATTATAATCTCATGTAGGTGATGGCAATTGGACGTACATTTGAGGAGAGTCTTCAGAAAGCACTGAGGATGACTCACCCCACTGTACCTGGCTTGACACCAGCACTTCCTGCGGGAAAGAGCTACGCCCCTGATATGGACTTGGAAGCCCTGCTGAAAGTTCCTCATAATTCTCGGATACACTGCATTACTAAGGTATATATATAGTTACATGCTCTGGGTCTGTTTTTGCAAAACATGTTAGCAATTAATGTCATATGTTAAGAACCAGTACCAGTTTCATGAAAGAACTTTAAAAGAACTTTAAATTAATTATAAAAATTTAAGTTTACTTAGACCCAAGATTACTCAGTAGAAATAACTCAATAATAATAAACTTTGAAATGCTGTGCCTGTTTAATAATAAGACAGAAATGAGAAATTTATGTTTTGCACTTATTTAATCCCATGGCGTATGTTGAAGAATCTGCTTTTGCACAGGTTGTCATTGATTTACCTGGGTCTTCACTTTAATAACAGGTAAAAAAGTGTCAAAATTGATGATTTTTTTATATTAATGCCAGGCTTTCCATGAGGGTTACACCGTGGATGATATTCATAAACTGACTGCTATTGACAAGTGGTTCCTGTACAAACTGGACAAGATAGTCCATATGGAAAACACTTTGAAGTCCTACAAGGGGTAAGATAGTCCATTCGGACAAAATAAGTGAGAAAAAAAAACTAGTGGGTTTATT